AATGCACATAAAATAACAGTAAAAAAGAATGGTTACCATGTAGTGAAGAAGTAACTACAGACCCTATCAGCAAGTAGGTGGGGTTCACAGGACTGCTGCTTGAACCATAAGTGACAAAGTGACACTAAAGATCAGGAGATGCTGGGATGAAAGCACACAGGAAAGTCAAGGAAGAACCACCATCTAAAAGCCCCTGTGGAACCTTGAGAGCAGCTGAGCCATCTTTATCCACATGGCAAAGGCAGAGTTGGGAAGCCATGTTGACTCTTGTGTGACAGCTACCCACCCCAACCCCAACTTACACAACATGCTTCTTTGGTTCCCCGCAGGTGGCAGGATCAAAGTCATACCCACACATGAGGGTATGCACTACAGGAGACAAACTTCAAATTATAAATGTTGGATGTCCTACAAAGTCCTTTTAAAACATAAACACTTAACAAGATTCTCTTAGACCAAGTAAAAGTTCCAATTCTTTTCCCTTTCAAGTGAACTATTTAATGACCACCAAGAAAAAGAAAATAGCACAGTGGGTATGCCAAAGAAGATGACTGGTTTGCTGGGACTGGCTATGGGCTACACTCCACGAGTCAGGTTACCAGTATAGTACAAAGAGCCTTTGATGTTCTTGATCAACTCCCTGGAAATTCATCACACAGAACTGATTCCATGTGAGAAGCTGGGCATGCTCAGAACAGAGCCAGATGTTAAAAAATAAGACTACCAGTGCCAGGCAAGAAGGTGCCTGGCAAGAAGAACTTAACAATAGAAATCACAGCAGCCAACTCCAACCTGTGGCAATGGCCAATATAATCACATGTCTTTGATGGCTTGAAGGGAACCAAGGACAGTTAAATGTTCTGTATACATGAAGGAAGGAAGGACAGAAGGGAGGGAGGGAAGGAGGGAGGAAGTGAAGTCGGACCAAGTTTTCAGATTCTTCTCTTGACCTGAGCAAGCTCCTGCCCATACCCTGCAGTTTAGAAGCCACCAGGTAGTTCTGACAAACTGAGCATGTAGGCGTGTTCACAAGTCAGATGTGAGTCTCATATGTAATTCTGAAATTTCCAGCAGCCACATCAAAAAAGGGAAAGAAAGCCTTATCAAACTTGATATACCTATAATTTTAACCACTTGAGATTTTGTTGTGATGTCTGCTAGACTCTCCAATATTCTATCTTCCTGACAAACAGATGCAGAGACTGGAAGGCGGTTATTGAAGACTCTCAGCACCTCCCAGCGTCAGCACCGCCCAGCGTCAGCACCGCCCAGCGTTTTTATGGCGTTGGAACAGGAATGTAACCGCAAGGAAAAGTAATGGTGTTGTGGAAAGGCACAACAATACAGCAGCAGAGTCAAGGACCCCATGCAACCCAGAAATACTGGACTTTAAAACTGTAATAGAAACTGGGAGCCCAAGATTGGAGAATATGGTTGCATGGTGGGAAGAGGGGAGGGTCTTCTACAAGGGAAGCCCCGGGGAGTCTAGCACTTCCAGAGAAAGGCAGGTTACCTGTGCTCTGCACAGCAAGGAGGCACTGGGGGGAGTCCTCAGCACTTCCTGGCATAGTTTGAGGTGTTGCAATGGGGAGACACCTTAAGACAGGGCTGCTGTCTTTATTGGTCGGGCACACCAAAGCTCCTTCACTTTATACCTCAAGTTCTTATGTTCCTTTTTATTGGCTCAGCAGGTAGCCAGCCAATAAAGTGTGTACAGGTTCAGGAAACTGGCTGTGACTTCCATAAATTTGTAGACATACAAACTTCACATCTATGACTTTAATCACTAATACATAAGCAACGTAAGTTGAGACTTCACGATAAATGATATTCCCTGCTGTAAGCTACCGATGCATTGCACATGGAGGGGAAAGCAATTCTATTCAACAAACACAGTGCTGGATTTTTGAGGCATGAGAGGAACTATGTGAAGACTCATGTGTGCATTAGGGCAGAGACCAGTGTGGCCAGTATAGGCAAACCATCCAACGCCATGCCTGCAAAAACTCGCCTGCTCAGTGCAGGACGCCCTGGTTTTGGTCACTATCCTCACACACAGAAGCTCACTGTTAACAAGCGCTGGTTACTCATGCACACAGGTACACTGAAAATGTACCTTTGAATGTGAAGGCCAAGCACCACCCGAGTAGACCACACTTGTGGCAAGCCAGAAGAAGGACTGAAGTCTACCTCCCAGGGTCCACACAACAAGGTTACTGACACGAACAGAGCCGTGAATCCACATTTTCTAGGCTCAGTCACTTCTTAGTTCATGCTGGTAGGCAAAGTGGAGTAGGCTCAGCACTGCTCCATATTCCCCACACAATCTGGGTCTAAGCAGTGCCCACTTCTCCTTCATCGCCAAACCTGGATAGAAAGCTCCACAGCAAGGAGCAGAACATGACTTTTTCTCTGGATCTGTTCTATTGTGTCCCCCCCCCCCCATCCCCATCCCACTTGCTACCTTTTTTTTTTTTTTTTTGTTTGAGACAGGGCCTTACTCCGTAGCCCTAGCTGGCCTCCCAACTGCTGGGATTAAAGGCAAACACCATACCTGGCTATTCTTTTTTGTTTCTGACACATGTTTTCCTTTTCTTCCTACCCTGTTCTTCATCCTCCTTCTTCCATATACTTTAACCACACTAAACGCTACTTTCTTAGTAAGTCCTATTTCGTATCTTTTTCTTTTACTACAGATATATCGTTCAAATGGTTTTTCTAAACTCTGAGTCAGACTAGATATCAAGCACCACGTAGAGGACTGACAACTCATGGAGAACTCTAACAAGCAGCAAACACTAAACAGATGAAAAAGACAGGTCACTTGTGACAAAATGCATGCGCATGGAGGAATTTTGTGAAGTGGAATAAGCTAGACACAGAAAGACAACGGAAGGAACTCACTCACATGTGCAACCATCCACAATGTAGATGCAGAAGCAGAGGATAAAATAATGTTTACCAGAGGCTGACTACACACTGACAAGGAAACCACCTATGAAGACAATATAATGACTATGAATACATATGCACCAAATGTTGGTGTACCCAACTTCATAGCACAAACACTCACTGGACATAAAGGACAGACAGATCCAGATACACAAACAGCAGGTGGTGTGAACAGCTTCATCAACAGACATAGCATCCAGGCCTCTAACCACTTCAAAAGAAACAGTCAACAAAGAAACTTCAGAGTTAATTATGCTACAGACCCAACAGACTTTATAGGGAACTGCAGGACCCTCGGCCCAGCAGCTGAGGAATGCATACTCTTCTTGGAATTGACCCCCCACCCAGAACCACACTGCAAGCCACAGAGCAATTAATTGTTCCCCAAATACTAAGAAAGTGAGCAAATTCTTTATATATTATCAGCTCATAATGAAAAAATATTAGAAAATGCGGAACCATTTACACACAGAGATGGAACAACGGCCTTTTCAACAACCAGTGGGTCATCACAGGGACCACGGAAGGAATTAAAAATTTCCTACACTCAAATACAAACACAGCTTACTAGAACCTGTGGGATACAGCAGAGAAAGTTCTAAGAAGGAGCTTGTAGTCCCGAATGCATGTATGAACAATTCAGAAAGGTAGCAACCAAATAACCCAATTACATACCAGTGTCTTAGAGAAGATGAGAATAAGGCAAACCCAAAATAGCAGAAGGAATAACAAAGACCAGAGGAAACAGTCATCCCATTCCTGATAAAAATGACAGAAAAGACAATTTCTAATAAATAATGCAGAGAAAATGAGATATTCACATGTAGACACATGGAAGACAGAAACTAGAGCCCCCTTCCTTGTGCTGCACAAACACAAAGTCAATTCAAAACAGATAGGACCTCAAGATTAGAGCTGCAACCCTGAAAGTGCTGGAAGAAAGCAGAGGAAAAAGCACGATGAGATACAGACCAGGGCAAGCAAGGCAATTTCTTCCATAAGCAGGATTCCAGTAGCTCAGGAAGTAATAGCAAATAGGACTGCTTCAAGCTAAAAATCACACATACAACAATCAAACTACTAAAAGTGCTCATAAGTAGGGAGAAAATCTTTGCCAGACATTCACCCGGCAAGGAATTAAACATTAAAATACATAAAAGAACTAAAAAAATTAAAATAATAAACAATCCAATCAATAAACGAAGAAGTGAATAGCTTGACATCTTCTCTGAAGTAGAAACACGTTCAATACCTTTAGCCTTTAGGGAAATGTCAATCAAAAGCATAGTGAGATTCCACCTTACCTTACCTTACCTTAGAATGGCTCTTATCAAGAAACAGGCAATAAGGTTGGTAGAGATGAAGGAAGACAACAAGCCCTTAATAGCTGTTTGCAGGTGGGAGTGTAAATTAGTTCAGCCAATATGAAAATCAACCTGGAGTTCCTCAAAGTGACAACCGCAAGACCTACTGGTCCATGGGCATACACCTGAAGTATCTAAGTCAGCATATTACAGAGACCCTTGCACACTCAGCTTTATCACTGATGATAGCCAAGTCAGAGACTCAACCCTGATGCCTATACACACATTAGAAAGTGTGATAAAATTAGTCAATCATAAGACAAAGGTCATTTGCAGCAAAATTAGTGAACCTGGAGGGATTTTGTGAGGCAAAATAAACAAGACATTGAAAGATGATGCATGAACTCACATGAACAATCTAAAACACAGACTCAGAAGGGAGGATAGATAAACTGGTGTTTACCAAAATCTTGGGAGACAATTGGTCAAAGGATATGAAGTTTCAGTTAAGGAGAAAGATGTCCTATATGGCATGGTGATGTGGTGTATCTGTTATATAATGAAAATCATTGCTTGCAGTGGGAACTGATTTTGTGAGGTGAAAACTATATATAAACAATCATGCAATGCCCACACATATCAATTATTATGTTCATTAATGTATAATTATAGTGATTCTGTGTCCTGGTCTGTTTCCCTCCCCATGCTTCCTTCAGAGCTGAAAAGGTGAGCTACAACCTTTACCTGTCAATGAACTGATCGATGATGATCATGTCACCAGGCTGGATCTCCTCTCTCAAGGACCCGCAAGCTGTGGTCACTAGGACATGTGTACAACCTTCTTCCTTCAGAGCCCAGATGTTTGCCTGGTAGTTGACTTTTGAAGGCATGATGGTATGCTGTCTCCCATGTCTAAGGAAGGAGATCACCGTAGGATATCAGCCACCAGGGCAGGATCTTTTAACAGTTACAAGGAAACAGAGACCCCGCCCACCCCTTTAGCCCAACCAGGTAAACTACGAAACTGATCAATCTATGAGCTCCTGCTGGCTTTGGATGACAGACCAGCTCTTTCATGACTACTGTTACGGGAATCAAAGTTCCTTTTTGTTTTGAGACAGGGTTTTTCTGTGTAGCCCTGGTTATCCTGGAACTTCTTCTGTAGACCAGACTGGCCTCGAACTCAACAACTCTGCCCACCCCTGCCCCCCCCCCCCCAAGTGCTGGAATTAAAGGTGAGCACCATCATGGCCCAGTCCTGAATCAAAATTCTTGAACTGTAGATTTAATTTAATCTTGGATCACAGGCAGTGGCTGTACTTGGAGACAGGGTTCTTCCTTTGTTTTTGAAAGAAAAATTTATTTTGAATGATTTCTCAATGTATTGTTTAATATGATGTCAATTTTTAATGCCAAAAAATTTGGTCCCACTATTATTTGGTAATGTCAGAGAGAGCTACTACTTTCCCCAGGAAGTAGTAAACAGCCAGAAATGGAAAGTACAGCTTTCTAGAAGCATGGCAACTTAAACCACAGGTTCAGAAGGCCACGAATTTTATACTGAAAATGGCATGAACATTTCTCAGCTGGCAACAGAAATGAGAAATGGGGACACCAAATGGAGTACAGTAGTAACATCTGACAAAAAGCCTTTTAAGACTAACTCATTCACTTCCCCTGTGGCCTCCCCCACAAAGTCACCCAACCCACTCAGAGCCAGGATTTTTTCCCCTCATCAGTAGAACATAATCAAATATCTACCTATTCTACAGAGCTGTCAAATAAAACCTCACTACCATCCTGTTTGTATTTAACTTTTGATGTCTTCTCTTTTTAACCAACAAACTATGGGCCGATACTAAGGTTTCCACCCTGAGTTCACAGACAACCTCTAATAAATTAGGAGGCCCCACTATCCAAATATACCTATATTTTCCCAGGGCTGGCCTCCAAAGCTTTCAGCAGGTTTCCCAGAAGAAATTAAACACCTGTGCACTTTAAACAACTGGTTCTTTTTCCCCCTGAGCTTGGTATTGGTGGTGTGTGTGTGTGTGGGGGGGGGTTAGGGGGGATGGAGGGGGAAATCAGGCATTCCTCCAGCAATGACTATAGCGCATATAGGAAGAAGAGTTGTTGAAAAATCCACAGCAAGGACTGCTTAAAACTACATTTTACCTTTGCTGGCTCCCAAGAACCTGATATTAGGTCTCCTTTTCATATCCTATATAATCTAAACACCTTGAGTGGGTCAGCCTGAGATTTATTCCCCAACATTAGACTATGTAAAGCCTCTAGAAGTCACTCCTGCGACTAGGTGCTACCTTGTTGGTATGAGAACCTGCTTGCTATTGCCTTCACTGTAGTAAAGGCCACTTGTGGTCAGGGGAATTTCTAACTATGCTGCTTACTGTGCAGCAGCTTATACCCCCTAGGCCTGTTTAGGGAACAAGGGATGAGCATGCACAAGAAGTGATCCAGGCTAGTCCAGGGACTGAGACCTCCTCCCCCACCACTCCAGATGCTACTAGACATGGATTCGTCACAAACAGAGCATCTTATTTATCTGATGATTGGAAGAAAGAAAATTAACAAATGAAGTATTTTGTTTTGTAGTTAGGCAGAAACTGGAGCTTCAGTGTCACCCAACTGATCTATTTTCCAAACCAAAGTGAGGAAAGAGATCTTTAGTCCCTAAATACCTATAACCTGAGCTGGTTTCAGAGCCATATGCAGTAAAGAAAGGAACTGATATGCTCTGACTCTACAGGACACCTATCTCATACCTACAGTATTACCTATTTCTGGACTTAAAATTCTCCTGAAGTAGTTAATACTAAACAACAACAAAAAACTTAAAAATACTTTACCTTGCAAGAAGCACACAATCAACATTTTTTATCTTCCCCAAAATTAAGGCGTCAGATGGCTGCATGCAAATAAAAAGTAAACAGTCACAGCTTAGTAATTTTCAAACGTGTATAAACAGTTCTTAAAAATCTGAATCATTAAACCACAACAAACTGGTAGAAATCTAGAGTTTGAAGATATACCTTAGGCAAAGGAGTTTAGGTTTTACTGATCAACATTACTACCAGTTTAAGTATTGACCTAGCTTTCTGCTAGCACAGACTCCACAGGCTATGCAGGGGCTTTGTAGCAAGTGTCCCAGGAAACTCTGATGGTAGACTAATCAAATTTACATGTGTCAAGGACATTTGAAAGGTTCAAAAAATGTTGTGAGTCAAAAGCTGAAAGGTTGGGAGATCACTGTACGGCACCAAGAACTCAGTGGCTGAACCACCTGTTTGTGGCAACCAGGCTTAAGATGGCCACAGGATGAATGGAAGTGATAAAGGGAAAAAACCCAAGAACCAACATTACTAAGAAAGCCTGAGGCCAAGGGTGAGATGGGAAAGGATTTGGAAAACCCCAGGCCATGCTAAGAACTTAGCTGAAAAGAAGGGCTGGGCTGGGATGCCAGCTCTCCTCAGAGGGAGGAATGCCAGTGTTGGGATGAGGCAATGTGGAATTAGAAATATAGATGGCTCACCCGGCCTGGGCCGGAAAATAAGCGGCCTCCCCTAGAATCCCCTTATTCCTAATCCTAACATTGTGTTCCTGAATCTTGGACTCATCTGGGTCAGAAGATGCCAATTCATAATGACTCTCTATAGCCACCAGCCTGTTTGCTAAGTTAGTGTGGTGTGAACTGGGCTCTAAATTAGAAACAGATTTGAATTTAAAAGGAGCATCTTGACTTCTAGGAATGCAAACTGAGACGCCACTTGTGTGTTTGAAAACCATGTCATCAAACAGCAGCCTCAAGCACCCTAAAGGACAATTCAGCTGATGAAACCTATCAGCAGCAACTCGGGGCCCTCTGCCTGGACCAAGCTTTAGGCTGTCCACACAAAACCAACCGCTGTTCTAAGTAATAAGCAATGCCAAAGCCAACAGTGTTGTCAGCTGGACATTAACCTTGCCAAATGGAGTATCCACATATTTCTCAGTTCTTCCTTCTAAAATTTCTGGATCATCCAAGCCTGTTCCACCAATTATTCCAATCTAAGGGAGAAAAGAGAAGAAAGAAGGTTGTCATATCTGGCCATGCTTCATTTTAAACAAATATATTTATCCATATTCATAGGCCCTTTCCCATTCCTACCAAGCCCCAAAAGAAAACGATTCTGAAAGTGATTAACAGTAAACACTTAAAAGCCCTCTATTAAAAAGAAATAAAGAATCAAAAGAAAACAAAAAACAAAACAAAACAAACAAACAAACAAAAAACCAAAAACCAAAACCCAATAGTCTTCTAGACTTTAGAAAAAGCCAAACACAGTCCACTGTTGTGGACCAGATCACATTTACTCCAGCTGAATTACTAATAGAGTTACTTTTAGGTTAGAAACTGAGCCCAAATGTGGTTGCAGAAAGATCTTTCTGACCAAGGTTGTTTCTCTACCACATTTACTGTGGAGTAAAGAAAGCTTGATACAGAACTTAGGTCTGTTTATTTGGCAATGGTTTCTTTTCACTACACCGTGTTAGAAAACAAGAAATTTCCTTTTTATGCCACCAGTCACAGACATGGAAGGGAATGCAGGTAAAAGACGAGGGACATGACAAGCCCTCGCTGATGCATATACTTACCAAATCAAACGGCTTTTTGTGTGTACACATATACAGTGTACAGTATTTCATATACTACCTAGTTCAAATTGCCATAAAAATAAGCAATGTATACACACAGAGTAGACAGTTGTTCATATACTGCATAATCTAAACACTTATAAAAATAAGCGATTGATTCAAACGTAGTTTTAATTTTTAGGCTCAAACATTTTATTTTCGTTTCCTGAGATTATCCAGAAATCCTTGTTCTTGGAAAAGTAGAGAAAGAAACCTAATTTTTGAAGAGTTGATCTAGGGTCGCCGAGATGGCTCAGCAGTTAAGAGGATTCCCAGCAAACACCCGGTGGCTCACTACTGTCTGTAAAACTACAACAGTTCCAGGAGATCTGACACCTTCTTTTGGCTTCTGAGGACAATGTACACATATGGTATACAGACACATGTGCAGGCAAAACACCAACACACATAAAAAAATAAATCTTATAAGAACCGAGTTGATCTAATTTGAAGTCAGGAAATAAACAAGAGCAAAAACAAAGACAAACAGTAAAGTCTTGACATTAAAAATTAAGCAACATGGTGCTGGAGAGATGGATCAGAGGTCAAGAGCACTGGCTGCTCTTCCAGAGGTCCCGAGTTCAATTCCCAGCAACCACATGGTGGCTCACAACCACCTATAATGAGATCTGGTGTTCCCTTCTGGCATGTAGGCACAACACTACATACATAATAAATAAATAGTTTTTTAAAAATTAAGCAACATTATCATTAGGAACTTTCTCCTGTGGAAAGATACAGGAAATAGAATTTAAACCCATCAATAGATGCCTATGATGTGGGGTTTCAGGGAGAAACTTCATAGAAAACAACTTTAGCAGTTTTTAAAATGAAAATGTGCAAACGCATTGTCACGGAATCAAATTCCCTGACTTCAGAGAATAAAGTTCCAAAGCAAAGAATTTGTGGGATTTTGCTGTAAGAATGGCTGACTTACACTTCCTGGTGGCTAAGACAGCTGACATTGGTGCTACCTTGTGGCAGGCACAATACTGAAATTACAAAGGTTTTGTATTTTATATCACCTCTACAGGTATGACCTAATCAACACAGTCATTTCAAATCAAACACTAAAATTACTTAAATTCTTCAGTTCGGCTGGTGAACTTTAGATATCTGGGCTAGAAAGAATAGCATATGAAATGACCATCACTAGACTCTTCGGGAATTTACCTACCTGATGCACAAAGGAATCAAAGAGGCATCAGGACCAAAAGCGCAAGGTTGTCTTCAGGTCTATAGAGAGTTTGAGGCCAGCCTGAGCCACACAACATGAAACAAATCCCCCCCCCCAAAAAAGGAATAAAAACAAAAGACTTCAGACCTTTTATTTATGACCACTTTGTTGTTCCATTATTTCAGGATGTTCCCTGGGCCAAAAGCATCTCAGATTCTGACTCAACCCTGAGCCTTCAGGCTTGAATGCAAAGCAGATCTCATTTAGTTTTGCAATCAGCCTCAGAATGCAGACAGGCCAGTAGAGCATGAGAGAAGCAGTTGGGACAAGGTAATTCCTGAAATTCACACTCCCTTAGTTCCCACCTTGAACTTCAGTCCAAATCCTTGTGGCTGCCTTACAAAGTTGGCAACTCAACCCTCTGCAAGCAGCGACAGTACTTCAACGGCAGCAAACGGACCAGGAAGCTACAGCAGTCTACAGGAAAGCCCATCCTGTCTTGCAGCCGGCTCACATTGTTATTGGGAACCTACACCTGACACAGAACCAAAGAAGCAACTGAATACCACTGCCACCAGGAAATGGAACCTGGAGGATGGAGGCCTGCAGTGTCAGTATGTGGACAATGTCGCCACCTGCTGGTTGTACAGGCAAAGTACGGCTTGATGAAGCTCCCAAGCACAGCTTAGAGCTGAGTGGGTTCATGGGCCTCCTTGTATCTGATTTCCACAGCCACTCTCTTAGTCAGGCCCTACTTACAGTGTTAGCCCCACTGTACAAAAGAGAAACACCATGTGACAACTCTCAGTATCCTCTGGGGCCTTTCAGGAGCTCAGTCTACTAGGATATAAAGAAACTGGTTCCTTTGGCCATGTCAACCGTTTGCTCAAGGTGACACAGCACACTACAGAACACACTACACAGCCTCTGGATAGCCAGGTGAGCATCTAAGGCAGTGGTTCTCAACTTTCCCAATTCTGCGAATCTTTAATACAGTTCCTCATGCTATAGTGACCCCTGACCATGAAACTGTTTCCATTGCTACTTCATAACTGTAGTCTTGCTACTGTTATGAATCATAATGTAAATAATTTCATAGGCAACACTGGTTGAGAACCACTGATCTAAGGAGCTCATTGACAGCCCTACCCACATTCAGGAATCAGGAAGACTCTGCCAGGTCCCAAGTCCAGGCAACTCTAGAATGCCTAAAAAAAAAAAATGGGTTCAAGGGCTGAGTTAGAGTTGAAGGGTCAACTCGGTACACCCTGGAAGTCTTCACTACATGAAACAAGGTTCTGAAACAGGGATACATCATTCTCCCCAATTTTCTACCACAAAAGAAGCCGGCTTCCAGCGAGACTGAAGGTAACCACTATGGCACCTTACTTCCCTGCACCTGAAACAGATGTTACCTACCCAATCTGTCTCAAGGTTGGGAAGGTGCCTGCTATTTCCTCTCTATGCACTCTCTGGTACCTAAAAGCCAGGGACTTCACCAACCCCACTTGGTCTCTGGAGCCATCCTTCTGAGCCCTGGATTCCCTGCCTCACAAATGTCCCCAGATGCACTCTCAAATGCCAAAGACAGAGGAGCCCAGGACAGGAAGATGGATGGCTTTTGAGTACATCAAGCTCAAGATGAGGAAAGCTAGCCAGGAGGAATCGGGCACAGTCTGTCATCTGGTGTTTCAGTCCTGCAGCTCTGGTTACTACCAACACATGGCAGGTACTGCTGACTGAAGCCTTCACCACGGAGCCAACCTGGCTATGTGTGTGGTCATGTAGGATCCCACAGAACCCAGGAGGCCCAGATTCATGGGGACAAAGAGGCCAAATGCCCCAGTCTGGGAAGTTTGTACAAAACCTGTACTATGAACCAAAGGGACCATGTCATGGGTAGCTCTACCTCTGACAACATATACCCTAAGTAAGTGTCCTTCACAGGGATGCTTATGGGCCACATTGGATGTTGTGATGCTCAGTACTCGTGACTGTTTTTGGAGACAGGGTCTAACCTAAAAAACAAAAACCAAACAACAACAAAGCAAACACACTGGTGCACTTACAAGCCACAGAAGAAAGACCGTGAAAAGTCCCAGAAAGAGGCCACTCCCATTTTAAAAGTTCTAAAATGATGGAACGATCAAAACTTGTGGATTATAAAGTGAAGCATTTATCTAATTTTTCTTAATCATTGAAAAGCAGGAGTCAGATATTGGGGCGAGAAACTAAATGATCAGAGAAGCTGTGGCTAAGCCATCCGTGACTTCCTACCTCTTCTGTTCCTTCCCCCAAAAGGGCAGAGATCCTCTCTAAGTCCTGTCTTACTACTTCCTCAATCCTCCAAAACCTCTCCGGTTAGTTTTGGTTGGCTAGTTCCGCTCTGTGATTCAAAGCAAACTTTATTGTCAGAATGCAATCAGATTATCACAACAGTAAATAGCTGGAATGCTGCAGATCCAGAGTCCAATCTTAGGTGATGCTTTTGGTTCTCTGGCCCACCCATGTCTTATCTAACACCCTAGCTACTGGCAGGAGAAACCTTCTGGAATCTCTGAATTTAGCAGACCACTAAGTTCTACCAGCTAAAAGCTAAGAATGTCAGAGAATCTGAGACTTCCTGCCCTGGTTGCTGTAAGCTATCCCATTCAAGCTCCTGCCAAAGCATTTACGAATGCCTCGATTTCTGCCTTCATTCTATTCTGTAACAAAATAAACTTCACAAAACATTTTCTTTGCGTAACTTAAATCCTAGGGTACAACTCTTTTTGGCTCAAATGGTTCATATTCTCTTTGAGGTTTTTATAAAATTAATTAATTATATTTATTTTTTGGTCAAAACATGTGGAAAGTGGCCATTCAAGAAGGGTTATCATAGAAATAAGAACCAACCCTTTTGGCATGCTATCTGTGATAACTAGCCTTCAGTACTGTGAGGTAGTCTGTTGCTCAGGCTTCCCAGCCTACTGAGCTCTGTTGAGGCCATCCTAGTAACCTAATGCAGGTGTTACAATCAGAGAAGTGTGGTGGCTTGGAAGATAAGAAAAGCCAAGACTTAAATGTCACAGTCTCTAGATTCCCTGACAACATACATTTCACGCCTGAAATTGACTTAGTTTCTGAGGAGCATTTTCTTCAAAACTCATCGTATTTTCCTTTGCTTGTGGAACAAGGCAAGATACAGCCCAAGTTC